ACACCTACAGCACCTGGTCTTTCTAGGTGGTCTCCGATCCAAGTACTAACCAGGCCTCACCCTGCTTAGCTTCCAAGATCAGACAAGATCGGGCACGTTCAGGGTGGTATGGCTGTAGACTAGACAATTCTGAATTAAAACCCTGGTTCTTCTACTTTCTAGTTGAGGATTTTGGATAAGTAATTTCAACTCTTTAAACCTCAGGTTTTTCATGTATAAATGGGAGATTAAGATGAACTATTATATGAATATTTAAAATCACTTAGATCAAAGATGAGCATATAGAAGAAAACCTAATACATGTCCTCTATTATTATAAGCCTTGTAGACTTCCTATAGTCAAAAAACTTAAGTATTAAAAAATCCCTGACATGAAACCTCATCTTCCCACCTTCTGGAGAATAGTCATACTGATTTCTTCACCTGAAATGTCCCCTCACTTCATCTCGTTTCAGCTTTTTGAAATCCCACTCCTCTTCTGAGGCTCACTAAAAACAATCTCTTCTGTCCCTCATTCCATCCCAAGCATTTTGTCTATCTCTTAAACATCACTTTGCTTTCTCTTATTATAATTTGTATGGCTGTCTTAATCTCAATGGTATAACGTAAATTTCCTAAGCCAAAGGTTTTATTCATCTTTGAAACTGCCATTAGAACTAATGAGTGTCTACAATTTAATTGACTTAATAAGTGTTTAATTCAATTAAAAGCAGACAAGGACAGCACTTTCTATATTGCATAATTCAGAATTCTTATTGGTTTATTAATTAAATCAACAGTAGGCTACAATTCCTTTTGCTTAAAAATACAGCTTGTCTGCAGAATTTTGAGTAAGATAAAAATCATAGGAAGGAAGTATAGAGAAAGATGATCCATGAAGAAGGAAATGAAATCATGACTGTCCCACAGCCTATACAACTACAGGTGGCAGTGAGTGATTCTGTTTTTCCTCCCAGAAGTTATTTCAGGACCACAGATGGCTAGGGTAAATGGAATGAGGTAAAAACTACAGGGAAACAAAAAAATATGCCAGGCATAACCTTAGCATTTGGCTCTTCAACAAAACTTTCTGATATCATTAGTGAGAAAGGATAAAGTATACAAACTATATCATTTGAGATGCATGCACTTTGAGGGTGTTTAGTATACATAGGTGACTTGAAACTTTAGCAAGAAAAAAATCTCATGGTTATTTTCATTTGGATTAATTCGATTTTAGCTACATTTCAAGACAAGGCTAATATCAAACTTTCTAAATTCTTAAAAGAATGTATTAACATGAGGAAAATAATGAACTGAGTAATGAGAATGACCAATTAGATGTGATGGAAGTTAAAGTCTTTTATGAACAGATTTGATAAATCATTTTGATATCATGAATTATTAGTTGTTGAGTAAACCAGAGAATCGGGTATATATAGGTCATCTTGTGACTTCACATTAACTCCATCAAAAAAGGAATCTTATGCACATAGTTACATAGAATGGGGGAGTTCCTGAAAGTTTCCACATTGTAATAAATTGAACCAGATATAAAATGAAACAAGAGTACATGAGATGTGTGTTAAATATTTTCCTTAAAGAAATCATTATTTAAATGGCCTAAACAGTCACCGTTTATTTTATAAATTTTATAGAAGCAGAATTTGGGAAGTAACTTAGTTTATTTACACCGACAAAATAAAGATAGGGAGAATCCATGTCTTGCAAAAATCACTAGATAAAATAAAACCAGAATCCTGGTCTTTTTTGAGTTCGTGTTAGTATTAAATCAACTCCAATATGACTGCTCTCAAAATTTTCTTAGAGTTTTCTTTATAGAGATTTTTAATAACATACTTAATAAATCAAGAAAAATTGTCAAAGAATTGTTTTTTCTTGTTTTATATGCTAAGGTAAATATTCATGATCTTTGCTTTCTATACTTTAAAAGTGAAAATAACCACATGGTTAATTTTATTTTTATTAAGCAGATTTCTTTTTTTTTTTTATTTTTAAAATGTAACCAATGTTTTATAATTTTTTTTCAGTTACAGTTGACATACAATATTATATTAATTTCAGGTGTACAACATAGTGATTAGCTATTTTTATAACTTAAAAAGTGATTACCTTGATAAGGCTAACACCCATCTGACACCATATATAGTTATTACAATATTATTGACTATATTTCCTATGCTGTACTTTACATCCTGTGACTGTTTTTATAACTGTCAATTTCTTTAAAACATTTGTCAAAAGACAGTGGGATAATAAAAGTTAACTTCTCATTACACTCATCATTTTCAGTGCAGAATAATTTCTACACGTACTATTTTGCATAATAACTTTTATTATAGGTAGTATATAAAATATATGTAAAAAGCTAACAGTACATTTGGATACAATTGATATGGATTTTTAAATTTGTTTATCCAAAAAGTTTTGTCGATAAAATATTTCTGCAAGAATATATGAGTGATTGCTTACCATAGTTGCTCTCTGGGCAGTAAATGCCAACCTTAGGGATAGTGGACTATGTGTGTGTGAGTGTGTGTGTGTGCATGTGTGTGTGTGTGTGTATGTGTGTGTTGTGTTTTCATTTTATCACTTAAAACCAAACAAGAACAAAACATTTTTCAGAATGCTGTGTAATCATGAGATTTTAGCATTTCCCAATTCATTTTAGTTTAATCGATTTACTTAATATAATATTAGCACATGCATTATATGCTAAGAATAAAACCTAAAAAAAAGTAGACTTATGTATTTCACCTCTAAGTCTCATAATACTATGCAAGAAGTTAAGGAACCATTATAGATTTATAAATATTTTTCACTGCATGCAACTAGATGATTTCACAGGGGAGAAATTTCCAGACCAAAATAATTCTATTTTTATGATTTGGAATATCTCACATTAATTTATTTAACCAACTTATTTAATTTGAATGCTGAGCTTA